GATAAATATTCATGTATAATAGAATCAGTATGGTGGATACATATTTGTCCTCATTTAAGTCGTTTAGTATATTGTATAATATTTAAGGGGCCGATATCAGTAGTAAAAATGAGAAAACATGATTTATCTTTAATCAACTTGTAAAGTAACGTGTTTAATTTTTATGTTTAGGTCAGGCAGTTATAAATGACAACTCTCACTGCCTACATGGACTTTCATGACTACATGGTACAATGAACCTCGGTCAAAGCTCCCAACATCATAGCTTGCTGCAGCCGAACAAACGCCACAAATGGAGCGTCCAGGAAATCCACCTCCCCACCAGCACGTTGGAGGCCTCAGCGTCTCTCGGCAACTTCTTCATAAACTTGTTCTTCAGCTGAAGGTACAAAAGACAGGAGATGTGAGGAGACATTAAATGTTCACACCAGCAAGCTATCAGTTAGATTAAATGAAACCACATATATCAAACAGAACTAGCTCCCTCAGCCTGGATGCCAAAGCAGGAGGCTCCCTATTGTATTCTATTAACAACCTCAGATCTGTATTTCTTTCTGTCGCGGCCATCCTGAGATGTATGGAAAAAATACTTAGTAACTTTGAGGTTTACCGTTGCACCTGCGCTGAGTATTTGACTTCTTCAGTACGTATATAAGTGTCTGCTACAATTTTTCTTTTTCAACCATTTTCAAAACACGTTTTTAAAAACACATTGACTCAGCTGTTCGTATTAACACAATACTCATTGTAATCATGGTGGTGACTCACCTGATCTTTTTCTGGTTTGTCCGAAATGTTGTTCAGGCTGCTGGACGTCAGGTTCCAGTGGGTTGTGGTGGGACTATCTGTTAAAAACACAACCACCTTTAGCAGACTGAGCAACCTGACCTTTGCTTGTGATGTAGGAGCCGATTGTACAAGAGGACGGGAGGGCGGTAAAAGAAAGACAGCGGGCCAGACAGTTTGCGCTGTCTGAGCAGCACAGAGAAGAATAACCAAGGCAGCCATGATGCTCATGCAAACCACAGACAAACCACATAAAAACAGGAAACCAGAGCTGCTCAAACAAGCAACTGACACAGACCTGGTTTCTGGTATGTGTTGGATCTGAAGGAGAAGCAGCTGCCATCATTTATAAGCATTCTGTTTTCTAATTCAAGGTGGCGGGGGGAGGCTGGAGACAGTACAGCAGGCTAGATCAAAGATGGTCTGGACATTCTTATTCTTATTCTATTTGGAACAATACGTATTATTAGAATTTAATTATCTAGTTATGAGTGTTAACTCAAAGTCCTTTTCCACCAGGTAAGGAGTTGGTGTCTATGTGGACAAGTGGGACCTTCAGCATTGCAGGTAAGAATCCAACCACTTCTATCACATAATGTTTTTCACAGTGGAGTCAATTGTCAGGTGAGGGCCAACTTTACCCCACACAGTTCTTCGTTACAGAGCCACATTAACAACCATTCACACTTACATTCCTACCTACAGTCATTTTAGAGTGAACAACTAACCTTGTCTGGCTGGAGGAAACTAAAAAACTCCTGGGGAATTCCCATGTGTACAGATGAGAACATGCAAACACCAACAGTTACAAATGGGGATTGAACAGGTGACATTCTTGCTGAAGGCAAGATCATTAACCACCCCTCCATCTTGTGGCCCCCAGTACGACTGGTTTGATGATATAATCCTTCTGCACAACATCAGAGTGAGGCAGTAGTCATAACAAACAGTGTCCCAGGAGGGACAAACTTCAACCTGTCATGTACAAACTGTCATGCCCCCAAAGTCTTTTATCCCTTTTGCTCCCAGGGTATTGTGGGTAATACCATTTGTCAGTATAATGCAGCCATGGAATTTTTTTTTAAAAAACTTAACTTACCTAACCATCTCTAAATAACAATATTTGTCGATTTCTGACAAAAAACTGCTTTAAAAGTTACTTTTTCCTTGAGTTTCTAAGGACTTTTGGGCCAGATTGAAGGCAATAAATCTGGAAGTTTTCTTTATGCTCAGAGTGAACTGTTAGAAACCTCAGTCTGAATGTTAACACCAGGTCTGAATGGTACTTCATTCATCACTCCTGTTCCTCACACAGGAGCAGGGGAGTCTGGAGTCATTAGCTGTCCACAGTGTGGACTTAGACGGCTTGAAGTGAACTTACTAAGCCAATCCATGCTGCTACTTCTTTGCGTCTGCAAGTCTTCCATTGAAATGTGACCCGACAGGCAAGTGAGAGAGTTTTCAAGAGGGCTGCGTGCTTTAATTAGCAACATCAGGTTAGCAATCCAGGTTAGCAGGAGATAAGGGCAGAAAGAAGAAAGGAGAGAGAAGTAACAGTGACAGTTGACTAAGCACAAAATCAAACATCAGAGAATCGTTATTGATGAGTCATCTACTGAGCCACATGATTGGCAGAGACATTAAAAATGAATACATTTTAAATATAGAAACCATGGGTCTTTGGACGGGAGCATGTCAAATTGTTCTTTAACTAATCGCTGCATGTACTTTTTCTTCCTGAAGATGGAACAAATTCTTCATAAATAATACAGCCCTTATCTCAATAATGTTCTTGATAAGAGGCTCCACTATTTTTCACGATTTTCCATTCAGATGTCAAACAAAGCAGGAACAAGGACGTTTGGCCCAGTCATCGTCTGTGTTCGTCAGTGTGATAGGAGCTGATAAATGACCCTCCAAAGACCCAAGGCTGTTAATTAAACACACATTAACAGTGTGTTGACACAACGGAATGTGTAATGAAGGCATTTACATTTGTGATGTTAATAATTAAGAACTCTTTGAGGATTTTCCTCGAACACCTTTAACCCTATAATGCCAAATGTATCATATTTGATACATGAGTTTTACAGCCCTCCACATGAGTAGTGTGATATTTTTCCCTGTAAAACCAGATGTATACAATCAGATAAACATCAATAGGAATGTCATGTGATCGTGTGTGAGTATATGAATGGGTATGGAGTAAGAAGGTGGGTGTGAATGTGGGTGTGGCTGTGTCTGGTAATTTCTCTATCAGTCTTGAGCACAGTAGATTATAATATGAGAAGCAAACAGTTTCTTAAAGCGACAGTACAGCATGAAGCAATGATAATTAATTAAATTCTTCCAACAAAGGCGCACTTAAAGACCTGTAATTTTCTCGACAGTGCGCCTTACAACCCAGTGCGCCTTATGTATTACTTCTGGTTGCGCTTACTGAGCTCGAATTTATAAATTAAGCCAAACTACACAGCGCATCACACATGATGGCATAGAACTGAAGCACACTGGGAGCAAACAATGACGTTCACAATTAGAAGATGCTCAACAACAATTGTTAATGCCTCCAAACACCCGGAGACTCCGCGTTGTGTTTTTGTATTGTCGATGTATTGTGCGATGCAGGATGACTCAGACGCATGGTTGTCGATTTTTTCATGGTCAAAAACTCTTTTTATTTCTCCTTTTTATCGATACAGGAAACACACACTCTCTCTGCAAAACAACATCCACACTTCCGCACTGAACAGCGTCAAAACAACAATACGGTAACCACCCAGAACAAAAATAGTGACAACCTGACTCTGGAGGGGCGAACAACAACAACAGCGTCCTCCAGTGTCCAACTTAGGTCGCTACTAGTGATGTGTCGTTCGCGAGTGATTCGTTCAAAATGAACGAATCTTTCATATGAGTCGTGACTCCCGAGTCATATGAAAGATTCGTGACTACCGAGTCATATTAAATATTTATTCATATTGAACTCACGAATCACTC